CTCTGGTCTCTTTCCAGGCATCTGATGTCTTAGGAGAACTCTGTGTGTTGATGCTGGTTCAGAAATCAAAGGTACCTCAGAGTTGTTTACTTGAAAAGTAACATGAAACACTTTTGTTTTGCAGAATTTGGTACACAACATTAAAACATTAATTATGGCATTATGACAGAATTCACAAAGAACGACCAAACCATAACTCAGAGAATTCACAGTATGAAGACTTTGGACTAAGATACCCTGCTTTCCCTATCCAATACAAAACACTATGAAAACTATACGTGGAACTATAAAGACACAAATACTGTGCAACAGTCATAATTTTAAAAGGACCTATTTTGCTCTTTCTCCAGTCTGATGTCTTTAATCTTGGACTCTACAAGAGCAGCTTTGCATAATTCATAATTTAAAAGGATGTTATACTTGGATTTGGTGCTGGCTCACAAGCAGTTTCATATTCCACCGCCTTCCTGTTTATCGAGATCTTTCTGATTGGCTGCTCCTCGTAAGCAACATGTGAACAGCATGTGGGTGGAGCTTCAGTGCTCACAGCTACAAACGCATGAGATGACCCTCCCACTAACATCATACAATGTCAACAGTAAAAAAAAAAGACATGCAAAAGACCAAAGACTAATTTAGTTGTCAATATTTCATTGTGTGTTCAGGAGCTGAATGTGAGAGAAAATAGCAAAAGGGTAAGTAAACGTTTCCTCACACTTTAATGCTTTTCCTTATATGGCTATCATTATAGATTAAACATCGCATGTGTTGTGCTGGTTTTTGAGTGGGTTTGGTTGTTATTTTTGTTATTTTTATATATATATATATATTCCTGCCCTCTATGTGCAGTTTTTGTTTCATTACTCTAGACCACAAGGTTCTGTCTTGTCAAAGGGAGGGGTAAGTTAAAAGATTGAACTGGATTGCTGCAGAATGCTGCTTGACCTAAAAAAAACCACCTCTTTTGTTTTACAACTGAATCTGCACTTCTTGTTGTGACGCCTCTTAATCGGCTGAATTTAGGCCTATCAGAGCTATTAACACCAGCAATTAAAAGTAACTGCACGTCATGCCCCTAACCACAAATGCATGCCAGACCAACACTTGGAAATGTAAACATGCACGGTCCTAATATATCTAAATATGTACATATGTATGATAAAATTTTGCCCTGTGTTTGCTCTGCATGTGAAATACCTATAGATCATAGATTAGTAGGAGGCTGTGCTTCATGATCGCACGAGAACCTGGATGTATTAGGGTTAGCGATCCTTCCTGTCTGCCCTTCATACCTGACACCTCACACAAATGTTGTGTCAAAAGCAAAGGGGATTGTGTCTGAAGTTGCAGATGATATTTTAGCGCACAATTTTATGCTTAACTATAAGGAAAATATGTCATTATTTATTTGTTTGTATGTTTGTTTTTGATGAAGATGAATCCTTGTTCATGTTGTTTCTGTATGCAAAAGACTTTCTGGCCGTTTACCACATAACAGAACTCAAGCTAGATGATGCAGGGAGCCTTTTTCTACAGCTAATATAAAATAGAATGATACGTTTACATCGTCAAATATTATACTCAGTGTGAAAAACAGATGTCATATTTACAAACATCATATTTATTTTCCTCGGTGTGGATTTATGGTTATTGAAGCCAGCACAGACAGGAAACATCCTTTAATGCACATGCAGCAACTTTTACTGAAATAACACAGCATTTTGCTTCGGGGACATATGATGCTGTTCGCTTTCTCACTCCACCATCTCTGTGATACAGAATGAGACACAGAATGTGATCTATTTATACAGGCAACACACTTTGCTGCAGTGAGGAAGCATTTGTACGTTTGTATTTCTGTGTAGCATGCGTTTATCTGTTGAGAGAAAAAAACTTGTTTTTCTCTTTGCCCTTGTACATTCCATAGTCTGTACTTTCTTTTTTTGCTGTTATTCATGTGTGTGTATCTGCCTGTATCTATCTATGTGTGTGTATATGTGTATGTTTGTCAGTCCCCTCAGTTGCACCCTCTTCTGCGTCTAGTTTCCCAACTAAATACTAGAAGACAGAGAGGACTCACAATGCACGTATGTACCACTCACATCTGTTCACCACAGCCACTGACTGATAAAACAAAGAGAAATACTTTGTTTTTTGAATGCAAAATACAATCAGTGGCTCAAACTGTCATTAAATCCTGTGTTGTTTAATATCCCCCTACACTGTGGGACAGCTATTATGCAAAGTTACTTCTTAAACGTATATATTTGGATATCTCAAGAGCAACAGGATGGTATAGAAAGAGGTGATGAATAGATGATGATAATTGCAACAGGCACGATGAAAGCAGCTCCACTTTTGTGCGCTTGCTGCAAATGTTTATAGTGAAATGTGTGTGCTCCATTCTGTAATTGATTTCAGTGTGTTTATCCACATCCTGAGCGTCCACATCAATCATGCTGTTGCATATCTGAGAGCTCTCCTCACTCTGTGCAAACTCACTCTACATTAGTTGTTCTTTCCCAAGCTGAGAGTTATTATGGTCTATAATTGGTGTGGCAAGCCAGGTGAATTCCTCCCCCACTTACTATCAAAGCACTGACAAACACAAAGTGGACGCCGATAAAACGTGAGCAAGAAACGTGGAGAGTGTGTGTTTTCAAATCCAGATGTGAGTCTTTGAGTGGGTACATGTTGGTGGTGAAGAGGCGCTGCAGACAACACTAAGAGCAAAAACTCCGAAACTCTTTTTTGCAGGTGGCTAAATTGTGTGTTTTTTAAATGTTTTTACAGGCCGACCTCCAGGGACCTGGAGGAATCCAGAGCAGAGGCTACTTTCTCTATCGGGTATGTTTATGTTTGTGCCACTAAAAAAGGAATTAAAAAGCCTACAAAATAGGCAGAATTTGAAATTAAATTAAAAATTAAAAATTGTGTTTACACTTACAGCCACGGAATGGGAGAAGATCCTTAGAGTATGAATGAACTAAAGGTAAAAATTCGGTTATAGTTTTTTTCCTGCCTTCATGTTATGTTTGAAAGATTAAGTAATTGTACATGAAATTTAGAGTAGAAGAAAAAGCTCTAGGAATTTATTAATGATTATGTGACTGTGCTAAAATAAGCTAAAATATCAAAAACCCAAAGGCACTTTCATGCACAGTGCGTTTTGGCATATACGTCTTCAACAATTAAAAAAACTATATCTATTCCATAAAGGCATTTTAATTTTACATGAAAAGAGAGTGCTTTGGAGTTTTTGTGATATTTATCCTCTTGACTTTTGTACTAGACTCGTAGGACCGCGTTTATATGCAGTTTATATGTCAAATGCATGTATCTGTATCTTCTAATCATACACATCCTGCATGTGTTTTAGAGTCTCCACCTCTGAAGCTTAGTGTACAGAGACAAAACAGACCCTGAGACCCAGGCTGCTGCACCGCCACTGAGTGATCCGGACATCAAACACATCCCTCTGCCTCTGCTTTATAGTGATGTTTGAATGTACACAATGGATATTAATTAAAACACTATTAATTTATCCATATTTTGTTTTGTGTTATTAAAACTGCTATCTGTGGCTGGGTGTAGTTGTGTAATTTTGTTTCAGTGTGATTAGTTCTATTTCAGTACATTTGAAAACAGTGTAAAATAGAGTGAAGGAGTGAAGGGGTGAATTAAGTTTTTACATAAAATAGTAAGAGTAATTTAAACATGAAAATGGCTTTGTTTGATGTACAGTTGTATAATGTGTAATTTTAATAATAATAAAGTTACAGATGGTAAAGTAAGTTCCTCCGACTGCAGAAGCCTCAGGTGTTGAGGCTCTGATACTAAACCAGCACTATATCTGCTTGGTTTTCTGGGGGGTTGGCTGGGATATTTTCTTTGTTGTTCTCCACCTTTTGTGGTGATTTTTCATGTGTGTGACATCAGACAATTTATTAAGTACATCTGGAACTCCACCACCAGCCTGAACCACTGATAACAACGCAGGTTGGAACCATGCTTTCATGTTATTTACACCAAATTCTGACTCTACTCTCTGCATGTTCAGCAGAAATCAAGACTCATCAGACCAGACAATGGCTTTCCAATTTTTATTGTCCAGTTTTTGGCCACCTGTGTGATTGTAGATGACAGCAGTGACACCTGGTGTGGTCTTCTGTCGATATCACATGCTTCAATATTCAACATGTGAATTGAGAGATCTTCTTCTGCATTCCTTGGTTGGAATGAGTAGCCATTTGACTTAGTATTCATTGGGAAGGCGGTCTGGTCATTCTCCTCTAATCTCTGAAATCAACAAAGCATTTCAGCCCAGAGAGTTGCTGATCATTGGATATTTTCTCTTTTACAGATAATCCTTGGTTTACAGAGGAAGTTGTGGTTAAAATCCCAGTGGATCAGCTGTTTATGAAATACTCAGTCCAGCCCATTTGGAAATAATAACCGTGCCACATTTAAAGTAACCTGAATTCCCCTTTATTCCCATTCTGATGCGCAACATAAACAAATAACACGACCATGTCTACGTTCCTAAATACATTGAGTTGCAATTGACTGATTAGATATTTGGTTATAAGGTATTAGATAATTACTGGCAGGATTTTATTTTATTACTTATTTGGTCAATTAAAAGTGCAAATTACCAACCACGGAACACGAATGTGTAATTACTACTATCAACAGTAGATGTCGCTATCAGCAGCCAGTTAAAGCCTCTTTCTTTGTATTCTGTTTTCGATGCTGGTGTGTCGCTTTAAAGAGGAAGGAAATGTATATAATGATGTTTACGCGCTGTATAGATCTATAAATAAGTGCATTCCGATTATTTCACAGAGAGTTACTCACTTTTACCGGTGAGATAAGTGAATGAATTTAAAAGTGTTCAAATTCCTTTAGTTCATCGTGAAATATTATTGTTATGGCCTATCTTTATCCAGGCAAGTCTCACTGAGATGAAAAAAAAAACAACAACTCTTTTTCAAGAGTGACCTCACTATAATGATCGAGGGCAAACACTGTAATCAGTCTTTTGGGTATAAACAGTGACAGCACGATAAATAAGAATGTGTTTATCTTTAAGGCTTAATTAGTGTGCAAACCTAAAAAACAGAAAGAGCAGTTGTGTAAAATACCACAGGAGCTCTTGCCAAGTCAATAAAATAAAATCCAACTGCAGCATTTCACACAGGACACCAATCAATAACCTCCAGAAAGGCTATTTCTTCTGTGTACTCAGTGGGTTCCAGCCAGACTGAAGACTATCATCACATAACTGGAAAAACGAAAAACGTTTTTTGACCAAATTGCCCGTCTGCCATCCTTCCTTAGAGATGAGCACATGTGAGCAAGAAATCATATAATAGCCTTTTTAATTGTTTTTGTAGCTTTGAAATTGTAAATAAAGCTCTGTGGTGATTTTTCTTATTGCTGCCTCTGTATGTTTGCTTAAATTTAAGACGCTTGCAGGGGAGGCTTGAAGAAGACGCAGACTGTGATAAGGTGATAATGCTGTAATTTATAGGGTTTATAAATTACAGTATTGTTCTTTGTCCCTGGCTTTTCATAATTAATCTTAAAACCGTTTTAAAGATAATTTACTGTGTAAAATCTGTTTGTTTTATCCCAAATAGTTAAATTTCTAAACCATTAATACTTGTGGTCCAGGCCAAACTGAATGCTCTGCTATAGACTGAGTTTTAAATGTTATAATTTGTTGGGGTTTGCAGTAGCCTAGGTATGACAAACTTAGGCGAAGTGTAAACTCTTTCTAATAAGTTTTGCAATTATTATTTTTTTCCTATTTAATTTAGAATCGTTTGGTGCACTACTTCATGTTTATTGCGTACAATTTCGGAAAGATTGGTTGTTTCTAATTCCTAAAGATCAGAAAAAACTGTAATATCTCCCTCAAAGTATCGGAAAAGCGCCACACATCCTTAACGTGGCCAAAAGTGGCATTGCAGGGTTTGCTACTTCCTGTTGTCATGGAGATGAGTAGGCTACCCCGGAGTTGGCCGATAAACATAAAGACACACGTCCAAAGGGCAGACAGAGATAATTTATCGACAAATAATCCTGTCTTCAAACAAACTTGACACAAAGAACAACAACGATAAATAAGATATAAAACAATGACATATAAAATTACAACAATAGCTTTTATTTTGTCCCCTGGCTGTGAATTACCGCAAAAGTAACACGCGAGTCTGCTTGAGAAAACTTAGAAAGCGTAGGCCAAATGCAAGCGGAATTTATATTCTTTAAACAAACAAACAAAAAACACTCCTATGCATGCAGATCTTCTTTGGACATCAAACTGAAGAAGGAAAATTATTCAAATGACTAGTTTTGAAGTATGCACAATCTGAGTTATTACTGAGTTATTAGTTTAGTCACAGTTTTTTTCCCAAGTGTGGTCGTTTTAGTTTAGGTTTCATTGTTCCATAATGTGCTTTTTTGAGTTTCAGTTTCAATTTTAGGCTATAGTCTTAGTTGCAGCCAGCCAATGAGGGGTATGTCTCAAGTGCAAGATGTAAAAAATTTAGTACTAACATCATTTTAAGGCCTTTGACTCATAGTAATAAAAAGACCTCAGTCTTAGTAAACACACACACACACACACACACACACACACACACACACACACACACACACACACACA